CATCAGCCCCATTCAAGTGCTCGCAGCCACACGTGTCCACCCACTGGACAGCACACATCTAGAACATTCCACGTCACAGAGTGTCCCCTGGGCAGCACTGGTCTGGGCTGATCCCCAGGACAGCTTAAGGAGCATCACAGGACGCAGTGGGGGAACATCCGGGAACAGCGTCCTCATTCACAAAAGATCCCGTGGGAAGAAGGCTCATTCCTCCCAGGAGAGGGGACAAGGGCACTGACGTGACACAGAAGGCTCAGCAAGGACTCCCGAAGCAGCCGTGACCACGTATCACAAACCCAGTGGCTTGAAGCAACAGAAGTCTATTCCTTCCCACTTCTGGAGGCCGGACGGATGTCTGCCACCCAGGTGTGGGCAGGACGGGTCCTTCTGGAGGCTCCAGGGAGAACCGGCTCCTGCCTCTTTCAGCTTCTAGAGGCGCCGCATCCCTGGCTCACGGCCCCTCCCTCCATCCTCACCGCCAGCAGCGCAGCATCTCCCAACTCTGACTCTGACCCTCACACCTCCCTCTGATGAGGACCCTGTGATGACATGGAGCCCCTCGGGAATCCAGGGTCACCCCCATCTCAGAAGCTTTAACCCCACCTGCAGAGTCCCCCTCCGCCCCATGAGGTGACAAGTTCATAGAACCTGGGACCAGGATGGAGACGTCTCTGGGATCGTTCTTCTGCCAACCACCCTGTATTTGACTGTCGGCAGAGTTTGGGTTCTGTGAGAGGGGCCTCAGCTCTGGGCCTCTCCATGCCTCAGTTTCCCCACCCTACAGAAACATGGACCGCACAGCCCCTCTCGGACCCAGGGTGGGGCCTTACAGGCCCTGCAGGGAATGTCTGCTCCCGTCCTGACTTCACACTTCTCTGTGAACCAGGAAAGGACTATCTGGCTCTCACAACACCTGGTGGATGTGGGTACAGGGAGGCAGAGGGTCCCAGGGGAAGGGAGCTGGGAACTGAGTCTGGTTCAGGCTCTCTGGGGCCCCACCTCTCAACCAGCGAGAGTCAGAGCTCCTCACCCATCAGCCAGCAAGTTCCATGGGCTCGGTCTCCAGCAGGGGCACTGTGGCCCCCTCCCCACGTTGCCCTGGCCCAGGGCTTCCCTCCTCGCTGGCCCAGGGCTTCCCTCCTCACTGACCATACCTAGCTTCCCCCAGGGTCTCACCACCCCACCCCAGCCCCACTTCCACAGGGCTACAGGAAACATCCTTTCAGCATCGACTCTGCCTGGCTCCCCTGCTCAGAGCCATGCCAAGCCAAGCTTCTCCCCACAGTAAGTTCAGCGTCTGTCCTCTCTCCATCAGCTCCACCACGAGGGTCTCCTGCTGTTCCCCGAACATGCAAGCTCATTCCTGCCAGAGGGCCTCACACTTGCTGTGAACTCTCTCCCCAGGCGTTTCATGTCCGGGGCCTCCGTGGCTTCAGATCTCAGCTTAAGTGTCATCTCCCGAGAGGCGCCTTCCCCACCAGCCCAGCTAAAGCAGCCACTGGTCTCTTGCTCTGACATCACTTGGCTTTGATTTCTGCAGAGCACCTACCAGTATCTGCCATTTCCCTGTTTGTCTCTTACTTATGTACTGTCAGTCTCTCCCTCTAGAAATCTAAGCCCCCTAAGGGCGGGTATCAGATCTTTCTCATTGCCGACCACACCACCAGTGCCTGGCAGGGATAGCCACACACTAAATCTTTGCTGCACTGATGAAAGCGTCAAGATCGTTGGAATAATCCAGCAGCCTGCACCCCGACAACGCGAGTGTCTGAACTCTGAGCACACCTAATCCCCACATCCATGGCCAATGAGCAGACATGGTTTGCCCCAGAGAGGGTGTGGTGTGAGGCCCAAGGCATCACCCGCGAAACATCTTGCTACAGAATCAGTCTTGAAACCAGTGAAGCTGGGATTCAGCAAAAGAAGGGACTGAAGGTCAAGTTAGAAGGCACCAGGAGAGGATAGGTCCAGGATGCGGTGCTGTAGGCCTGGACCACACTTGTAGGAGTGAGTGTCTGGGACTCACGGAAAGTCAGGGCCACCGGGGGGCACCCATAACAAAGCACCACAAACTGGGGTGGGGGGTCGAGGGGAGGCCCTTCCCCCTATTCCAGCCTGTAGTGACGGTGAGCGGCCACCCTGGTGCCCCTTGGCTTGTGGCTGCACCCCTCCATTTCTCCCCTATTGTCACGTGGCCCCTCCCTGTGAGTTTGTGTCCAAACCTCCCTCTACTTACAGTGACACCAGTCACTAGGGCGGCCCTAATTCAGTGTGGCCTCATCTTAACCCGATTACACCTACAAAGACTCTGTTCCCAAATAAGGCCACATTCACAGGTTCACAAAGTCGTGAATTTGGGAGGGGACACTACTCAACCGAATACTGGGAGTAGGGGGAAAAAGATGTTGGGGCCGTTTGTAAAGGAAACAAAAATGTAACAACCAAATGCAAACACATAAACTTCCTGGATCCTGGTCCCTAGAAGCAGGCTGCGGGAATGTGACAATGGCCTGTGGGTCTGTAGGGGGTCAGCCATCTGGGAGCCCGAGTGGAGATACGTCTCCGATTGGCCTCCCACGGGCCGCTTATCTCCTGATGGTTCAGCAAAAAAGACACACGGGGGCAGATACACTATTCGGAACGTACAACATTAACGGGCTGCAAGTACGGGCGATCCACTGGTCCCACTCTTCTGTAGGAAAGGTTCACTTAAACAAAACCGGGACAAACGAAGGCCCGTTTCTTTACAGCACATTCCAAGTCCCCGGAGTCTCATACCTCGAATCCTGGGGCCTGGCGGGGCGATGGCCCTTCCCAGATACCCCTTCCCCGCGCCCCCCAAGGTCTTCGATTCTGCTGAGGGGCGCTTTCTGGGTCGCAGGACGCCCCCACCCGGGTCCTCACTAGCTAGACTCTCCAGCCAACCGGAATGGGGACTCTG